CAGAATGTTATTCGGTTTCAATTCACTCTACTGATATGGAATACTACCGTGACGCTGACCTCTGGATTGAAAAATAGTACACACACGTACACACAAAAAGGGAACAGTTCTCTATAGTGATATTTATGAAACTATTAACTTTCTAAAACGTCATGTCACCATTATATGTTCATATTCACTTATCTAAATAAAAGCCACAACTTTACACTATTTATCGAGTTGCCCCGTCATGCTCTGATAGATTATATCTCCCTATCTGATTACAAATGAAAAAACGATGCAATTCCAGTTGTTTCTACACAATATTAAGCTAGGTTAAGGTTTGCACCTACTTTGCAGTCAGCCAGGCAGGTGAATGTTTGCACTTATTTTAACGCCAGGCCTGTGTACTTGTCGTGTAGGTGAATTGCACTCAGGCAGATAAAAGAATGTGTGCACTGTCCTCGTTGTCTTACTGTCAGTGTATAATTGTATATCTCTAATATCAATTATGTTTGTATACTGTAGACAGTATCTTTTCATCCGATAAAATAGATGTTATATGCGCCAGTAATTTTCAACCCTGACGCACGCCCAGGGACTGTTTTTTAGTCATGTGGTATAGTTACGATGATGCAATTGAAAAGGCGGCGACACTCTTACATAATAAAGCGGGTGACAATTATTAAAACAAAATTACAAAAACAAAATATTTTATTTTCTCAAAAATTACAGATTTGAGACTTAAGCAGACAAATACAGACAGGCAAGCTCACAGAATTTTCTACTCCTTTGTAATTATGACAAAGTTTAATATTTACATGAACTTTTTTGTGTTGGCAGATAAATTGTTCTTTCACACATTAATTATTTCCATGTCCTAAATTTTATTGGGATAAATTCCAAAAATGTTTTTGACAGTATGTGACGTTGTCAGCGGTATGACTATCTATCTATAATCATTCGCAACATTTCATGGTAACACGCATGGCTGTGGTAAGGGATGTTTCTTTTTTTATTCCATTTAGAGAACTGTCTGTGGCCTTTAGTCAAGTTGTTAAAATCAGTGTTGGATAGTCTTTTATCTTGTTGCCATGGAAACAAAACATTTGTCATCCATTTTGACAAGTCGTAATTAACCCATATATTTTGTTGAGACTGTGAGATAGCTGTCTGTGTTGGGGGGGGGGGCTGAATTTATTCGAAACATGCAAGGGAGGACTTAGCTATACTACATCTGGTTTTGGGGGGGTACCCGAAAAAAATTAGGAATAAAAATCCATCTCTTCAGACCCCCCTAACCATTTTTAATGTAAGCAGCTTAAACAAACTTACAATAGCCAACAAACATGTTTGAGTCGAACATGATTACAAAGGATGGAGTTTGTGTACAGACCCCTGGATCCAGGCCAGTCGATCGCATGGCACATTTGCATAAAAATCGAAAGAGCCAGCTTTGTTTGATATGCTAGATTTCGCCGAAATTGTTATCAGTTCACTCAACTAATATATGGAATACTCTAACCTCTTGGTTGACCACCGGGAACGCTTTTTAATGGTCCAGAACAAGAATAAAGAAAAAAAAAAAAACTTTACAAAGAGAAGTTTTAACTTGATTCATAGGAAGTGTATTAAATTTCTACGATACAACAGATTTCGACGAAGTGTTTTTTACACCGTTTGGAAATTCTCAGAATGAAAACAATATTGAGTCACACAAACAACTTTCAGGATATTATTTGTTTTTCAATTGCTGACCGCTGGATTGATTTTCAAAAAGGTTTTACAAAGTGACAGAGTTTGTTATTTCTCACCTGCTGTTTTGAAAAAAAATCACAAACACACACAAACAAACACAGAAAAATATATAAAAAAG